GTACTGGTGCTTTGAGGTCAATTTTAGTGCTCCAGTAACAGGCTTGAGTATTCCAGCCCAAACCTGTGAAAAGGAGGTCTTAATTTCCTCAGAAATGAGGATAGTTCTTGGACATCCCAAAGGTGGAGACTGCAAAAGAATATAAAAAATGGGGTAATAAGAAATAATCTAGTGAAAACTCCATTTAGATCTTATACCTTGCAGGTATAAGACAAATTTAATTATGTTAATTATTTCATAATACCTTAAAATAAAAAAACTTAGGATTGTTCTGTTTTCCATGGTTTCCAACTGTTTACCTTCAAGACCCTCCTATTCTAGCTTAGATAAAGAGTAGGGGTTTTATATAATTGAAAAAGTAGAAGCTATCACAAGTGTGACATTGTATAGGATGGCTTTACATGTTAACAATTGAATGATTTGCCTTCAAATGTCATTTATTGTTTTGTAAGTAAATCACTAAGCCCACGGCATCATAAATGAATTTCATTTATTTCCTTTTTACCAGTAGCACGTTGGTGACATATGTTTATATTTACTGCAGTAATTAGGGGGAAATGCCAGCCTGATAAATACCCAACTGACATATTTCATATAGATACACTGAGAGTCTTTTGTTCAATAAAGGATTGTAATTACCTTAATTTTATTCCTTTGATAAGATTTGATTTTGTAAGAATATAGACTTTCTGAAGTGCTTTTTTGAAATCTTACATGTTTTTCTGCAGTTAAATACTAAGTGATTGCATATATTGTTAACTGGCTTCCAAGAAATCTTTTAAACTGAAATGAGAATTATTATGGTGCTTAGGAGACAGACAATGTGACCAGTAATCATTAAAGGCTCATTGCAGTTATTTTGGCTTTTGGTATCTTAATATATAAAAAATTATAATGCCACTATTATTATTATTATTATTATTATTATTATTATTATTATTATTATATTTCACATGAGCATAACTAAAAGCTGACTCAGTTTGGCTAATTCAAAGTTTTGAATAGTTGTGGTGTTTGTCACATGTGAGAAGTCAGTGTTACTGATGATCTGAAGGCTTTTACAGTCAAAATCCTTCTATTATTTCAGTACTTTAGTGGAGATCAAATTAGTTAAATGTACCCCTGAATGTTGTTCTACCCTTTGAAAATTTCCATCAGTCACATTTCAATTTTGCATTCACCTCCTAGCAAAGAGGGAAATGTTCATTTTGGAGGATTGTTCCAACTACTGATTCCTTCATCTAATCAAAACCTCTGCTCATCTGCTTCTCTGACTGGCATTAACATTAACGTTGACTGATGTCTTCGGAAACAGCTGGCTCATATATTTTCTTAATTAAATTCCAGCATTTGCAGACTTTGGTTGACATAACTCTCCATCCTACAAATGTGTCATTTCTCTCTTTCATTTTACACCAGCATTTGTCAATCTATACATGCAGATGCTTTGACCTTGACCCTTTGTTCTGTTTAGAGCATGAGTGAGTACAGTACAGTTCAGTTTAATGTGTAGTTGTCGTACAGTACAGTTTACTTGTCAACTGCTTCCACAGTTTGAGCTGGTATTCCTGACAATTTTTGTAGCCATAATTACAGATCCACATGCTAGATACCTGACCTTCATAGAAATAATTATCCTGCTAAATTTCCAGGACTGCTAGCAAGCAATTTAGATTTGCAGTTTAATGTTGGTGACATTTCAGGGAGAAATTTTCTCTTGTTGCTATGTCTAAACCTCTGTTTGCTATAGCCCAAGAAAAGGCACGAACTGGCCATAGGATTGAACTTATGGTTACTTTTGTACATTAAATAATTCATATATAATGTCGCTGATGTGGCACAGCAGTGTTTTCACTTTAGGTTTTCAGATGAAAATGGCTTTTGTAGAGCAGAGGTGCCCACAAGGTCATGATTTTCTTCTACTTTCCAAGTACAAGTTCTGTACTTTCAACCCAACTCACAATTAGAATTCCCTTTCAGACCTTCTCTTTATGAAATTACTTTATGGCTGTAATTTTCCCATCGTGACCGTAAACCTAGGTTGAGGCAAACTGAAATAATTCCACAGTACAATACTGTTTTCACTCCCACATGGTTTATGTATCCAATAATCATTGGGTGATTTACTGGTTACTTCTGTTGGAAACCTTTATTGGAAGCACTATTGAGTATGTCAGTGTTTTTCATCAAACTGATTACAGTTGTGTGATCATGTTGTGGTTTTGCTTAAACCACAAAACATGCTGGTTTTATTGGTCTTACCAAAATATTAATTTTTGAGAAATATCACACATATATTAAAGGAACATTCAGGCTAAAATATATGTAGTCCAATTCCATGTGTTCATTTATGTTAAAGGTGAAGTTTGTATTGTGAAACTGGGAGAAATGGAAAATATTTTAATCTTCAATTAATTAATGTAATTAATTTAGATGCATAAACGTACATTTGTGGTTGTGGTATTGTGAAAATTAAAGTCACAATAAATAAAATATTACAAAAATAAATAAATAACCTTTGTCATACCATTATGTACAACTGACTCTTCCGTAGGATACTTGGTCAAATATAACATTGCATTTTTCAAAGTTAAAGCACTTATTTATGACTTTGTATGTTTTTGGAAGCAGCCATCCCCTTGTGATGCATTGGGAACTGCATATTGACAGAAAGGGGGACAGAAAACTTTGCATAAAGTCTTTTGAGAATAACTTGCTCCTGCAGATTTTAATCACCTGGGGACCAGAACCATAAAATTGGGACAGAGTAATGACTGTTATTATTAATTAAAAAGATAGATGAAGATTCTTATATGGGTATTGTCATAGTGTTTTGCTTAGCAAGAATGAATATCATTTGTTAGCTGATACAGTCCTCGGGAAAACATTGGCTATACTGTAAAAAAAAATATTGGTGTCTCACAAAAAGACAATATTACCTCATGAGGAAAAATAAAAAAAAAGCACCTTACCAGAATAATTGCTATATGAGAATGACAAGGTATTAGATTAGTTATGAGTTACTTAATGCTCAAAACTAGAATAGGTTCAGATTCTACATACATGCAGGAGGGTCTTCTGGTGCAATAAAAATATGACAAGATGAGGCAGACAAATTCATGCTTTAAATTCTCTAGTTCATGGGGCACTTTCACACATCCTCTTTGTGAGAATAAGATATTCCATGTGGAACTGTAAGGAAGAATCCAGCAGAGCAAAAGCTCTCATAATAGCACCTGGATTTGCTCAATTACACCCAAAATCCCCACAGTTGCAGTTCTGTGCCTGTTTTCAAGAAGGATATGGAACAAATTAGGCTAAGCCTTCTGCTGAGGATAATGTCTCTGTCAGTCATCTCTGCCATAAGCTGCAATGTATTTGCAGTTATACATTTCTCTCTAGCAATTCCAAAGCAGAAGTGTCATTGAGAAAAATAACTGGTAGTTCATATTTTGTTTGATCCTCCTCCATCAGGGAACACCTGATTCCAGGACAGGGAAAAATCTCCTTACCTTCTAAGCAGAATTAAAATATACTTGAATTGAAATAGTAGGCATTATTAAAAATGGTTTTATATTTTCAATCTTTCCATCCTTTTAAGTTTTGTTTGTTCTAAGTGTCCTACAGTCACAGTGCAAGTTGATGTTTGCTGCTGACAGCAGTTGTCTTTCTGCAGTTTGTGACTGGTACTTAGTGATTTATTTTAGACTGGTAAGTAGTATGAAATCTGTGACCTTATTTACCTTTTACTTTATAGAGCATTATTGAACTATTTAGCAGTAGTGAGACTTAAACCAACAAGGCCTGATTTTTAAATTATTTTAAGTCTTTGCATCAGTTTGACAGAACAAATTTACATTTACATTTACTTTCACTGAAGATCCATAATCAGGAAGAAGCATAATAATCTACTTTCAGCTGAAATGTAAATTAGGAGGTCCGTATTTTAAGACCTTTGTTGAGATGGAGTTTACATGGGTTTTTGGACATCATCTTTACCAGTAAGGAGAAAAGCTCACATAAGAAATCTTGATAGAGAAAACAGTTTAAAAATTGTCCAAGACAGTAGTTTTAGTAATATTAGTCAAGAATATCTTAAATAAAAGCCACTGTGTTGTAGTTAAAAGGAGATTTTCACTCAAATAAACAGAGCTTATATGCAGTAATATGTACTTTCATCCAAAACTAGAGTTAAATGATACATGGTGCAGTTAAAAAGTGAGACATATATCTGCATTTCTCTCTCTCTACAAAGATACATATAGTTGTACATATATATGAATGTATGCATATTTATACAGAGATGAATTTTCAAGTGATCATAAACTGATTTCTACTTGTGCAGACAACAATTTACACTTAAAAACTTTCTGTGTATGTTTTTAATTAATGTCAAAATCTCATATAAATTAATTAAAAGGATATGTGGGTAGGACAGCATAACTACATGTGTTCTCAGTACACAGATTATTGTTATTAACAATATTCTCATATTTGCAGCTATACTATCATGTGTTTCCTTTTTCCCAAGAGTGTATTTTCTTTCCATAAGGTGTATGTACTATTTGAATATGATCTGCAGGTTTCATTGTAAACCACCAAACTAATAGGTGCAATATAGAAGTCGCCTGATAACTCAACCAATATTTTTCAGTGATTAAAAAAAGTAAAATGTGTATTTTTCTATGTTTTTCATTTCGTCTGTGTGCCTGGCTTTTATTTCATTGTATAAACTTGAAACAAAATTTGTGGGAATTTTTCCACTATAGTATAGTTTTCTTGATTACCACAGAGTGAAGCACCAAATGCCTTTATTTTTAAATATATTTATTGCCCCATTTTGAAATACTCAGATGCTTTTGGATGTTCTCAATAGTGGAAATGAAAATCCAAGTGTGATATTCTTTATTTCATGGATCCAAACAACATAAACCTTTACCACTACAGTACACAGAAAGGAAAACTTACTGTCTTTAATACCATTTCTTTTTATTTTACAGTTTAATAATAATGCTCAGAACGTCAGTTGCTTTAATCATCTTGTCCAAGCTAATGTGAGGAACAAGAAGAAATTGAAAGAAGCTGTCTATAAAATTTCTGCTAAAGGAATTACAGATTACAAAAAAGGCTTTAGCTATGCTTTTGAACAGCTGCTAAATGTAAGTATTTAAGTAATATCTCCCTTCTGTCAAGGGAAGCAGGAGAACTTGAATGTTCAGATGGTCACTGGGTGCTCCTTCATTGTGAAACTTAAGTGGTAGAAGTGCAAACCTTTATTTAGCAATTAAATTTATCCCAGCAACGTTTTTTTCCTTGCAGATTCCCCAGCAGGTTGCTAAGATTTGGGAATGAATTTGGTTTTCAGTGTGTTGTACTGTTTTAGTTCATTCAGCTGTTTTTCCATTTAACATGTGATTCCCAGTTGGCACATATTTGTGGTAGTGGTTAACTTGCAGTTAATTTTGGAATGGACAGCTCTGTGTTACAGTGCTATTATTTTAATTTTACCACAGCACCTCCTAGCAATGTTTAGTTAATCTAAAATTTCACACTTATTAGAAGTCATAAATAGTTTGCCAGGGCTTGAACAGGATAGAGCAGAGGAAATTAGCTAGTTAATAGAGGAATATTAGGCACCTGAGAGTATTCTAATTCCTTTCTTTTTCTCATGTATAAAAAGAATAATTTCCTTAAAAATAAATGTATTGTTACCAGTTTTAAACGCATTGTACTTTCTAATTTGCACCCAAGCACTAGCTTTTTGGATAGCATTGTTTCCCATTTACCACAGATGTTGGGACTTAATCAGTAAATTCTTAATGATTTATGTGGTTGTTTAAAGAAATAATCCTACTCTTCCACTTTGTAAAAACTGCATATTAGATCTCCACTTTAATGCAAGTAAAGCTGAGTCAGCTTATAGCAGATAAGGATATAGCTTGACAAGTAAGAAATGCATTCTTTTCCTTATGATTTTTGTAATATATTTGTTTTTACTTTATTTTTTTCCCCCTAATCTGCCAGGTTCTGGACTTCAGGACACTCTTCTGACATTGTGTATAGAGTTTAAGGCTAGAAATGGTTGAAAAATTTCCAACCTTCCTAAATTTTGACAGAGGAAAAGAAAAAGCAATGTTTTCATGGGAATTTTCTCAGTCGACCACTATTCAGTTTAGCAATGGGGTTTGGTGGGGAAAGGAGTGGGTGCCCTCTGCTGATGGTTATTTTTAAAGTCTGGTGGATATTCTTGGACCAGGCTGGATGGCATTTTCCCATTTTCTGCATCTGTTGACATCTCATGCAGAGGGAAGAGGAAGGCAAGGAATTTTGCCAAATATATTCCTCATAACATTTATATTTCCTTAAAATTATGGTTTACATAGGGCACCAGATATATACTTTGTGTGCAGGCAACATTAAGCCAAGCTGAACACAGGGAAAACCTCGAAGTGGACTTGTTTGTAGGACTGAAATATCATTTAAAAAATAATGGGAGAATAATAGTGTCATAGTGGGACCAACTCTTTTGTAGCTGGAGGCAGAAGTGTGATTAGCCTCACACGATCACTGCAAGACTGTAAATTATGGCTGGACATTGCGGATTGCATGAGGTTATAGATATACATTCATCCTCTCCAAACACTGGCAAATCCATTTAGCAGGAAGAGTAAAGGGCTGGTGATGGATTCAGCACTAGACTCTAGTGACAAGACAATATAATAGAATGATGTAATACAAGATTAAACAAATAATAAAAAATATGCTGTGAGGTATTTTCCAGTTGTATATTTATGAATTAAAATAGTCCAATTGCTTAAGGGTCCTTAGAAATGCAGTGTTGCTCAAATTTTCATAATAATTTTGTGGGGCACTGTTTCTGGATGACAATTATTTCAAACTGTTTTCCAGAATACCGAAGCAACATTTTACTTGTGACACGAAAAAATTGCTACCTGATGAGTTGCTAAGTGGAAATAGACACATGTGTTTTTTGCAACATACTAAGGCCAGTCTTTATCAATAGCCTGGATTTTTATGTAGTATTTTCTCTTTATTTGTTGTATATTAACTTGCTATTCTTAGAAAAGCATAATACCTCAACTTCAGCATTTCCAGGAGGGGTTCTCCCAATGTGCCACAATAGGTGTGTTTTGTCAAAGAAAAAATGCGTTTTTAAAAAGTCATGCCACAAGGTATAATTGCAACCTAACACTTAATAAGTTAATTTCAAAGATGTGAAACTTTCATAAAACAGACGTAATTTTAGCTATAGTATGAAATGGATCATGTTTTGCTTGCTTGATTGAAATAGTAAAGAAGGTCTTTATCAAATAGAAGAGAGAGCTAAAAATTAATATATAGCTCAGTTCCAACTTGCATCCTCCCGTGGATTAGGCTAAGAAACTGGTTTTTGTCCTGAGGAAGCTCCTGTATAGACAATATCTGTGGTCTTTTGGACTGGTGAGGCAAACTGTTCAGAAGAATTATGAAGTTACTTTGTCATCTTTTCACAATCCCTTCTTTTGCACTCCCTGAGCCAGTATCTCCCCTGTTTAATCCAAATGGAGGGAAAAATAAAAGGTATTGTTAAGGCAATTCTGCCTTTCTTTGATGTCTTTTGAAAGATTAATGTATTAAATTCATTCATCCAAAAGCAAATTTTTCATTGTGGGAGAATCCTAGAGTCACAGAATGACCTTGGTAGGCACATTGAAGATCAACTAGTTCTAGCTCCCCTACCATGGGCAGGGACACTTCTCACTAGACCAGCTTGCTCAAACTGCCTTTAAACACTTCATTTGTAATATGAATATAATATCATATGATCTGAGCTTACTCACGTTCAGATTTCCAATAATGTTTGGAGGCTAAAATCTTGAAGTTTTTTTCTAGAACATTTATTGTCTAGACAATGTAATGTAAGTAAATGCCCTTCTGTAAGTCCTAGGAGATAAAACACTGTGTATATGTATAAGCATACACTGAGTAAACCACTAGAAAAGTCCTGATTTACCCAGTTAAAGCAAGGCCTAGCTCAAGTACACACTGCCCATAGTAGTGCTTGTTTTAAAATCAGTAGGAAAGTTTTATAATATGAGCAAGTTTTGATCCTCTTCCTTGTTATCTCTTTTGTTTCCCTCTGATTTTATTTTGGCCTATATGTAAATCACTGTAAATGCATGTGAATTTCTTTATTTATGAAGTATCCAACTCCACTTTTATTACTTTTTTAATATCAAAAAGATTACAGCCCAAAGCAGTATCTTGTAACTTACATTTCACAAGTGAAAAATGGTAATAAATTATTTAATTCCAACTGAAACACAGTGTGCAGTTGAAGTTGGAGAGAATGTCTTGTTTTCAAGCAAGTTTTATAAGTTTTTGCATGTAAGAAAATCTTTGGGCTTGTGATTTTTTTTTTTAATTAATAAATAAATAATTATTCACTGAATATTGAACTATTGCCATAAATCATCTCTGAAGAATAATTCTTACTCTGTTAATTATGTTGTTGTGCTTTAGTTTTCTTGGAGCATTCTAGAATGTATTATTGAGACTTACTGAGTGATACTGGGCTGGTTCTGGTGTTTCAGTCTGACCAGTCTGGTGACAGTTAGTCACCATAAAGAGAAAAGCGAGGGGAGATCTGAGTGCTTTTGTAAGGACAACTCTCCTATTTATTTTCCTGACTCTAGAGAAAATTCATATAGCAAATTTCAAGCTTGTGGAAGGAGAAATTGAATTTATTGGGACCATTTGAATCCAATACAAAGGGCAAGGAACACTGGCTGCAGGAGTCATGAGCAATTTGCTTAGACTGGATTCTTACCTTTACAGAATAAAGACAGAAGATGAATACTGAAGAAGGAACCTTTGGTTCTTTCATAAGTAGCCAAAATTCATACTCACCTCTGTTGTTCTGCCTGTGGAACAATGTTTTTATTCTTTTGCAAAGCACACTGCATTTTTCTCAGGGACTTTACTAGTTACTTTGATGCATTAGGAGTCAGGGGGGCTTCTTCTTAATTCTCTCTATTTCAGGCTTGCTCCCCAGAAATAATGGAACTTGCTCTGCTCTTCAGCTCTGAGATGAAATCTAATTAGAAAAGTAGGTGATGGAGCGTTTTTAATAATCTAGGAAGCCACATCTTGGCTATTATGTAAACCTGATTCTAAGATACTTTTCTAAAGATTAGCTATTTATTTCAAAGTATTAAAAATAATAATTTAGAAAACCAGGAAAGAATTAAAGAGTTGAAAGATGAAACTCATTTTAAGGAAATGTGACAAAAGTAGAAAATGTGTAGGAGTTCTCCTGGTGTTTGTGGAGGTGAGAGGAATCACCAGGTCCCTATTCCACTGTGTTAGGCCTGATTGAAATGGGTCATATTTAAGTCTCATGGAACAGAAAAAGGGTTTTGTTGTTTTGGTTGGTTGTTGTTTGTTTGTTTGTTTGTTTGTTTTGGGTTTTTTTTGTTTCGTTTTTTTTTTTATTTCTCATTCAACAGGGGGTATTGAAACAATTCTAAAATATTTTTTGAGTTTTGCCATTACTATGTTAAAGTAGTAAGGATGCAGATATAAAAACCATCAGATATAACAGTTGTTATTCCTTATAGCCTGAAATCTAAAAACACTTCTGTTTGTATCTCCTGTAGCACAGTGTCTCCAGAGCTAACTGCAATAAGATTATTATGTTGTTTACGGACGGTGGTGAAGAAAGAGCACAAGAAATTTTTCATAAATATAATGAAGACAAAAAAGTAAGTGATATTTGAAATATTTTACTGTGTAAAATACAATAGAAGAAAGAGGAACATTAAATACAGAAGTGAAAGCATATTTGGTGTTATGTATTAAGTACTTTTAAAAAAAAATATTAGTTTTGATCCCTAGGGACTTAAAGCTTTCTCAATCTATAACATTTATTTGTGAAATCACAAAATATACTTCATATTTTACAATTTGTGATTTATTGATCTTAAGTGATACAGAAGTATACTGTGAGCCATAAAGAACTCAAGTTTCTATTGGCACTTTTCTTGCGTTAGTGTAATCCCTGAATTATCCAGTAGAAACAAAGGTAGTAAATGATATATGATATGATATATGATATGATTGATACGATTGATATATGTGTGTCTCCTTGCTGTGAATATTTTCTATGTGCTTTTGTTGTTCATCAGGAAAAGGTAAAATGAAATCTCAAGGTTAGAAACTAAGTCTGAATAAATTTGGTCTGGAACAACCCATGTTTTTCCCAATGAGGTCAATTATACCTCTGAATGTCTTAGTGAGAAGTGGGATGGCTCTCTACTGATGAAATTTGATCTGCGGTTCAACCAGAATTATGGGTTTGACACGAGAATCCCTGGATGGATAGTGTTGATAAGATTAAATTGGATTATTAGCTGTGATGGATTTGGGTTTAGGTTTTGAATCTAATCAAACTTCTTGTCTGGCTTTTGCATACTTACAGATTTAAAAATATGTGTGTGTATGTGTGTGTGTGTGTGTGTGTGAAATAAAACATCTTTTAAAGTCTTCTCCTACTACATTTCAGAGCAAATCATTATTAATTATAAGACTAATTACATTCTAAATAGAAGTGAAATATGAGCTGGATTCACACTGTAACTGAGAATTTACATTTCCTAGTGCTTAGGGATGTGCCTTCATGGTTTTTTGTGGGTTGTTTTTATTTCTGTTTTCAGAAAACCGACTAAAAGTTAGAACGTGATTCACAAGGCCCTTTAACAATTGTCAGCAATGTGTATGCATAAAGCAGTGGAAGTATTCAGTTGGAAATCCTCATATATTTGAATTCGTCCTTTCAAAATTAGAACAAAAAGTGCAATACAGAATTTGTATCTTGACCAGCCATTCTCTCAGTGACCTTGAATAATCATTTTGTGTCTGATTTATATTAGTGTTTCACATAGAATGATACGGTGAGGTTTAGTTAACCTTTGTGTTTGAGTTGAAAATACTTTTTATAATGACAACTTGAAGAGAGAATTGAAATTATAGTCACTTGTGTGGCACATATGGCTGTATTTTGAAAACACATGCAGAGATTCCTCTTCAAATTTGGACATGGGAGCTTTTACTGTGTTGCAACAGCAGCCATCAGCTATAGAAAATACATGCATAAGGGGAAGATGTATGATTAATTTCTTATTATTTTTTTCATTCATTTTGCTCTGTTAGGAGTAAAGTGTAGCAAAATATTCGGTCCAAACAACAAAATGGATTTGCAGTGCCAAGATTTGTGGTCCTAATCACATCATGCCCGATGGCTGATTATTCTGTGAAGTATAATAAATGAAATGTAGGATTTAGTAATTTTAAATGGTTATTTTACTGCATCATTTAAGACTGTAAAGTTGCACTGCTGAGGGTTAGAGTGGTTTTATATATACTATTATATATAATACAATGCACACTCACTTCCCTGTTCCCTCTAGTGAAGGAGGGGTTTGGGGTTTTATTGTATACAGCAAATGTGTCACGATGATGATAAAGGTCACTGTATGCCAGTATATTGTCACATATAATTGAATGCACTGCCAATGCATTGAAAAGCAAATTTTCTACACTTCTTTAAGCTCTATATATCTACAAGTTCAAATCTTAATAAACACTTGTCTAATGAGGTACTGGGTTGCTAGATACCACTCCTTACTGTTTTTCTCCAAGGTGACGGAATTACAATACTAAAAAGTTTATGCAGTTGTAATTTGAAGAATCATTTACACTGCCCTTATCACTTTCAATCAGTAACAATCCTTGTAGCGTTGAAGGGAAGTTTATGGTTGAAAACCTTCTAATGAGATTGGACCAGTAAATTAATTTTTAGGAATTGCAATGAAATCCTCTGATATCTTTCATACTATTCTAATATTTTTAAAAATAAGGCTAATACAAAACATGCTTGTGATAATGCTGTCTTTAGTAAGACTACGTTTGATTCCAGAATGATGATGTAATCTCTTCTGTTGTTCCTTCTCTGTGTAATTTAGTGTTAATTCATTTCCAGTAGAGAATAAGAGAATTGATAGAGGCATTCCAACATTAAAAATACGCATACGCTTTTAATTTTGCAAAGTCATACTCACAAATATGGTCTTACTAGATTGCACAGTAGGCTGGTTTCTTACATTAAATTATGAGATACTAAAGATATGTGGATCTTGGTTCTGTTGTCCTTTAATTTATTTCATAAACAGCCCAATGAATTTAAGACTAATTTTATATTTATCATTTCTAGAGGGACTATTACTATAAGGTGTTAAAAAGTTTTCTGTTCTTTACAGTAGAAGCAATTTATAGCATAAATATCAGCTGATGTATTTTCTTGCCTCCTCTGCATTTATTTGAACATCTGTCTTTGCGCTCTGCATACAGTATATAAAGATGAATCCTTATTGTCTTATGTCGCAATTAGTCATGTCCTATCTTAGGCACACTGTGTTGTAAACTTACTTTCTTTTTTTTCTTTGTGCAAACAGAAGACCTTTTATTCAAATCTATTAATTAATTTTTTCATCTGCCTGATGTAAAATTGCTTTAGCTCTGTATTTTCTTCTTCATATCCGTTACGTTGTAATTCCCTGGCATGAAAGAAGCTTCAGTAAGTTTTGGCCCATCAAATGACATGACTCAGTACACTTTTTTGCGGTGCCCTTAGTGCAACCTTCAAGTTAAGTGAAGGGAATGCAAGAAACGATTGGAAACTACTAAAAGGAGCAGCCTAGAATCTAGAGGCTGGAAAATTGTTCTTTTAAATTATAGGGTTTAATGTGTTTGAAATATCATACTGATATATTTAAAATAATTTTCTGTCTTTACAAATAATTCACAGTATGAATATGAGGGTTATTATAAAATTTGAGTAACAGTTTTGGGGAGGAACATTTCGAGGGTTTATCTGTCTGAAGTGGAAAATCACAGCTGTGTTTCACCTTTGAGTGCCTTTTTCCCATTATAAAGCCAGATTTTATTGTCACATATTGCAGCTACGTGCTGTGCCTGATATTTCCAAACTGGCATGTTTACCTTTTTGGTGACATTTGGGGTGCTCGCATTAAATGTGCAAAATACCACACATGCGCTAAAATTTCAGGAATGAGGGTGCTAAATTTCATTTTATTTGCACTCCTCCTACGGATGGCTTCACTGAAGATAGCAATATAAATTTAATTGAAATGTATACCCAGTAGGCGTTTATCCTGAGAATTTTGAATTCAAGTTGAAAATAGAAAACCACAGATCTTTGGGGCAAATTGTGCACACTGAAATCTGTGTTTCGAAGGATTGCTCGACTTTTGTGAGGAGGAAAAGACCTTAAACATATCTAATGCACTTTTGGCTGTTTGAAATTTTGTAGAATGGCAGAGGTTTGTGTAGATGAGATGGAATGATCTGACCCACACAGGTAGGATTGGTCTGACCCCTCCGGCAGAAGCAGAACCATAAGTTGTGTCTCATTTCTCATTCCTATGGAATTATCTGCCATGATTAGTACAATACAACCTTATTTTGTGGAGATTTTTCTGATGGTAACATTTGAGTAGAAATGGTGTGAAGAGAAGTTTTCCAACAGCTCAGTTACATTAAGAATATCTTTTTGTGGTGGGCACAGAATTGTTACAGTGATAGAAGTCCTGTGGGAGCACACTCCAGCTTACTGGAACTCCACTGGGAAGCTTGTGGCTGCCAGTGACTTATTCCAAATGGGACATATTCAGCATGTCAGAAGAATGATAAAATAAAATATTTATGAGAAAGTACTTGCAAAACCTTCATTTAAAACAAAAAGGCCTCCTTCTGTCATTACCAAAGGAGGGAACCATTTTCTTCATTGGTTTGAACCCATTACTGCACAACTGCAAGTCAATAAAACTAAAATGGAAACTATGTTAACCTAGGCAATGGTGTATGAATCATTCTGGACAAGGCTAAAAGTGTTGGTCCTGACTACAAATGACCATTGAAGAAGCCCATGACATTTCCACTTTATGTAGCCGTGGGATTCTCATCAGATGTCAGACAATCAATGTAACTTTCCCGTGGTTACTTATAGAGCTGAAAATAGAAACAGCATTTTTCATAACACTAATGTTGGCTTTGAATAGAGCTAAACAGCTGTCAAAGTGCATCCCAACAGGTTTTTCATTCCTGAGTGTGTGATAGACTTGTGACACAGGATGTTCCATAAAGTAATTAAACTAAGAGTTGAACTGAGCAAAATTCTACTTTATATCTGAATGGCATGTGGCATAGTTTGATAGATAAAATTTAAGCCATTTTTTATGCTTTCTGGATTGTACATTGTTCTCTGGCCTTCTCTGCATTAGCCTTCTGTTGTCTTCAGACAACCAGACGCTAACATATATCTCATTCCTCCTATCATTCCCCCTATGCTCTAAATTTTCTTGGAGTGATGGTAAAGGAAATCCAGTGTAGAAGAAATCTTCAGCTAGCCAGTTAAACTGGTTTCCTGGCTCCTTCCCTTTCAATTTTATCTTAAGAGTGTGTCATCTTCCAGCAATTAATTTTAATTTATTATATGTACTGTGACATGCACAAATGGTAAACCTAAAACATTCTGGGTAAGGCTTGGGTCAGTATTTAAAAATTCCATAATCCCTTACTTTTTCTTTAAAAGTGAAAACTGTTATTAGAATGTTCACTGAAGAAATGTCCTATTCTTGAGGCAAATTATTTTTTTTTACCTCTTTCTTAGCTTCATGTATTAATG